TCCTTCCTGACAGGAAGAGGTGCCACCCTGAGGACAGCGGCTGCCCCCAGGTACCGGGCTTCATGCTCCTCAGCATCCCCATGTGGGTCTTTCAGACACTCATGTCCACACTATACACTTGACCTTCCTCCCCCAGATCTCCTTTAAACATCTCAGAAAAGTCATTCCCCACTTTGCAGTTGCTTGGACAAAAACAAAGCAACCCTCTCTCCCAAAATGCCCACATCTCCCCACTGCTCTGTCCCCTTCCGGGATCTGAGCCGCACGATATGAACTACTCCTCCATGCGCCCCTCCCTTGCTCTTCTGCCCTGAGTGTCCTCCAGCCAGATGACCTTTTAGAACACGTTGCATTCCTCCCCTCTGGCCCAGACCTCTGTGGTCCGCCCCCCACCCCCCACCCACTGTACGTCCCTCCACTTGAGCTACGTCTCTTTCAGGACTGTGTTCCGATGTTGTCCTTTCCTGCCTGGCCCTAGTTCCTCTGCACACTCTGACCACCCTGTGCTCTACCTTGTGTCCCCACAGCACTGTCACCTGACATGCTCTGTCATTTCCCTCCTTTCCCAGCATGGGGGCTGGTGTTCACTCCATCTTGTTCACCACTGAGTCCCCAGCCCCTTGGACAGTCTGGCCCATAGTAGAGGCTCAGTGAGTTGCCCTCATTGGTTGAGGAGGTAGGAAAACACCTTAAATCCACTGCTCAGAACATCAGCCCTGTCACTTCTGTGAAGTACCTTAACCCACTTACTGCTAAGCGTCACTTTCTTAAATCTGAAATAGTGTTACTAATAGTCTCACCACTAGTGTACTAGTGATGGTATAGTATAGATAGCATTTCAGTACGGTAGCATCAGCAGTAAGACCTGTTGGCTCTATGATTTGTGTCTAGCTACTTAATTTCTTTTTTAATTATCAAGCGACACTTACTGGCCTGGTGTGCCAGACCTGTGCTGGGTGCCTTCTGTTGGTCTCCCGAGTCCTCTGTAAGAATTCTGGTTCCTGCCACAGCATCATTCAGCCTTTTGGAATTGTTTTAGAACATGTTTTCTGCCTGAGGCTCTCAGACCAGTTGGATGGTGGCATTTTACTAAAATAAAGGAGCATTTGCATCCACCCCAAAGCCCCATTGTCAGCATCCTGGGGCTGGTCTGGCTGAGGTGCTCAGGGAGGTCCGAGCTGTACCTATGCAGGGTCTCCAGTGTGGCCAGAGCCTGCCCTTCTTGACCCCCAGCTGAGGAAGACACAGGCTGCATCCCTACCACCTGATACCCCACTCAGCCTTACTGATGTCGCTCAGCTGTGCAGACCTGAGGTTTGGCCCAGGGTGTTTGGGAGCGAGAGAAAAGGAGGGGGCTGAAGTGGACCTGGTTCCAACCTCATGCCTTGAGCAGTGGGCAGCCCTGGTGGTCTCAGTACCTCATTTTTAAAATGGGCACACTGCTGTTGGGATTTCTGCCCAAGCAGGCAGCCTCCAGCACAGGGTCTCAGCCTCCAGAAAAGGGGCTCCTCTGTGTGCTGGCAGTTCCTGCACAGGCCTGAGTGGAACTTCTGCAGTTTCAGCAGCCTTGCCCTCGTGTTCTCTTCTCTCACTGGGGATTTTGAAACAAATCCTAATTTGCCAGTCTGGGCTATTAGCCTCTTCACCTACTTTTAGGAAGTATTCTAATGCATGCTCTCACTGCTGTTTGCAGACTTCATCTGTCACACTTCCTTCTTCCGGACAGCTTTATCCCTGGGTGCAGTGACCCACCAGCCCTGATGTGCTGGGGGCTCTGGTCCTGCCTGCCTTGAGGAGGGAGGAGTCACTCCTTACCAGCACCTGCCCTCCCCAGGAGCAAATGTCCTGTGGTGGCTGGGGATTGGCCAGTAGCAGGCTCCAGTCAGCCTGCATGGCTGTGGAGGGGGGCTCCATCCCAAGGAGTGCCCTGTACCCATGTGGCTGGCCCCTCCCCTTCCAGCTGTGCTTGTCTTTCCTGTGGTGGGGGAGGGGTACAGCAGGCCCCGCACCAGCCTCAGTGGCCCACCTTGGGGAGGCACGGGCCCTGGATAGGCAAACACTGTGAGGTCACCTGTCCTTTCTAGGCCTGGGGTTGGCAGAGTTCCAGGCCTTTGGCTTCTTAGCTGCCCTGACGCTGCAAACTGAGCACACACTGCCAGTGGGCCCTCTCTTGGGGACCAGCTGCCAGAATAGCCCTGAGGTCTGGGAGATGGGTCTCTGGGCCTGGAGGGAGCAGCCCCATGGGGTCACTGAGGCCCTGCCCTGTAACCTCGGGGAGGCTTCTTATCCTTTAACAGTGACAATGAAGTGAGGCCACTCATGCACAGCCTCACCAATTAGGTCATCAGTTCTGCCTTGTCCGTGTGGGTTAAGGTTAGCTGCGAGGACTTCATGCAGGGTCTTGGGTTCAGAGCCCAGGGCTTATAAGGCTGGAGGTTGCAATGGAATGGGTCCAGCCTGGCTGGAGCAGGGGTGGAGTGAGGAAGCATGAGGGGTCTGTGAGTCACAGGGAAGGGTGTAGTATGTCGGAGTGGGGTACATTCTCCCCATCTACATGGGGACCCCTCCCCCTTACAGTAGGCACCAGGCCAGGCTGGGAGTTTCACCCTTAGTGGCAGAATTTCCCCTGACTCCAGGGGACCCTCGTCTGAGGTCCTGGTCTCCTTTCATCTCCTACCTAGTCATGCTCCTCCTTGCCCTGGGTCTGGGAGTGCACATTTCTGCTGTCCAAGGCAGCTGCCCAAACCGCTTCCCTTGTCCAATTTCTGGACCATCTGAGGAGCTCCTGCTTGAAGGAGAGGTGTCCCACCCTCCCACAGTGAGGAGAAGGGAGGGTGACCACTCTTGGGGCAGTGACTTGTCTGCTGGCTCATGGGAGACAGGACAGACTGTCAGTGAGCAGGTTAGACAGGGTTTGTGGTAAAGGCATGTTGGAGAAAGGACAGAGATCATAGAACTTCAGGGCTAAGAGTGAAGTCAGAGTGTCCCTCACCTGCCTCTGGGGCAGTGAGGAGCCCTCTGTACAGGGAGGTGGAGTAGCTGCTCATAGAGGAGGAGCTGGAGGGGAAACTGGGCGAGAGTGGTGGGAGAGGGGGCATTGGGCAGGCAGGCTGAAGGGGAGCTGGGGGTCGAGCAGCTGGTGTGGAGTGGGCAGTAGTGCAGGCTGGGATTTCAGGAGGGCTTGGGGAGTAGGCAGAGGCTGAGTCTGAAAGCCAGTACCATTGAGATTTGGGATTTCCCTGTTCCATTCCCCACCCCGCATCCTGGCCGTGTTAAGGGCAAACCATGGCACCTGGGTGGTGCTGAGAGAGAGACATTCTTGGGCCCTGCCCTCCACTGAGGCAGGGTGGAGAGCACCCCAGGGTAACAACATGGCCGTGGGGAAATGTGCTCAGTTCAGCCCTTTTGGGTGGGCCTCCTGTTAGAGCAGGTGCCTGGGTGCCCTGGCCGGGCCACACTGCAGACGGCCCACTCTCCCCCAGGCTCCAGGAGCATGAAGCAGCTGTCACTTTCCTTCCTTTCAGTCTAAGTGCACGAAAAGGCACATTTGGGCGGGGCCTTGTGCTATTGCTCATTTGTGAAATCAGCTCTTTAAAGAGATTGCAAGTGAGTCAGCTTGAGAGCACGCCTGTATATGGTGACAGGACCCCCTCGTTCGTTGTCTTGTGCTGCCCACCAGCCTCTGAGAAGAGGCCTCAGGGACTGGTTCTGCCCAGCCCTGCCCAGGACAGGCCCCGCTACAGCGTGTTCAGCAGTGAGGGAACTGAGGTACTGGGAAGGTGGGTGCTGTACCCGCGAGGACTTCAGAATAGAGCAGAGCATGCCACCGTGTGAGTCAGGCTGCTCTGTGGGGCCCACACACGGTGGTCACCAACTGTCCCGTACAAAACTGTGACACTTCAGGAATTCTACTAGAGCTGTGGTGCTAAATTTCTTTTTTGTCCCCTGGTGACTGCTGTGGTGTTTGTTTGTTTTAAGACCCTGACTCTCCCAGTGTTGAGTGTATGCCCTGCCCTGTTGGCGAGGCCAGGGATTGGAGTGGCCCCTTTAAGAGTGCCCGTGTCCCAGACCCTGCTGTGGAATGCCAGCCGCCTCCCTGCAGACAGACATCACTGTGCTGTCGTCCTGTGTCCTGTCTCCGTGAGGGTTAACAACACTTCAGCTTGTTGTCTGGAACCGGTTCAGACTGGTTTTCTGGAAAGTGCTTTGTCTCTCCGACTGAATCCTGGGAAGGGTCATGTGGAGCCCAGTGATGTCATGGGATCAAAAACTGACTCAGCTGTTTTTTTCTTCTTTTTCTTTCTTCTTTAAATCAAGATATGTGTGTGCTGCAGGTACTGGGTGGTGGCATGTTGACAGGCCAGACCTCACCCTGCTCAGAGTGCACCTCACTGGCTACCAAAGGGTTAAACGTGACCCCGACCCCCCACCCCTCACCCCCAACCCCACCCCCATCCCCTGGTGGTGAACAGGGAGTGAGGAGACCTCCTTTCACCGAAGGGAGGAAGCAGGGGTCATCCCAAGTTACCACGGTACAGGGCTGGACCCGGCCGTGACCCTGCTTTTAGTACAGTGTGGTCACCCCCTTCCCAGATTCCAGACAGTACAGGCACTCGGAATCCCCTAGGCAGGTAGCTCAGATCTAGAACAGTTTTGGGTCTGGAGTGCACAGAATTCCTTTTCTTCTTGGTAAGCAGCTGCCTTCTGCTGTTTCTGTCCAGCCCTTCACAGGTCTGTGGCCCCCAGCGGGGCAGGGCATAGCTCAGCTCTCCAGGTGCTCTGCCACACTGGAGGCTGGGCACGCCCCGCTCCTGCCGAGCCTTCCCCAAAGCAGTGAAGAAATGTCCTGGGGACACTTTTGAGGGCCCTGTGCTTGTTGTACCTACCTCTGCCATCCTTATACATGAAGGAAAACACTCAGAGTGACACTCTGAAAAGTTTCTAAGAAGGTAGCAACTTCACTGTGCCCAATTAAAATGTGTCTTCTCCTCCCCTCAAAGTTCAGAATGACTGAAGAAGCATGCCGAACACGGAGTCAGAAACGAGCTCTTGAACGGGACCCAACGGAGGACGATGTGGAGAGCAAGAAAATAAAAATGGAGAGAGGATTGTTGGCTTTGGATTTAAACACTGACAGAGACATGAGGGTGATGCCTGAGCCAGGAGCTGGCCCAGCCCAAGGGTTGCTGAGGGCAACAGAGGCTATGGGCAGAGGTGAAGGACTTGCAGGTGAAGGGCCTGTGGACATGCGCACCTCACACAGGTGAGTGGGAGGAGCCGGTGGGAGGGACTGGGACCTGGAGTGCCCAGGTGGGGGCGAGCCGTGCTCTAGGCCTGGTCAGGCCTATGTGTAGGAAGCAGCTTTGGTGGGATTGTCATGGAGATGGCTGTGGGCGCAGCCAGGGCATCGCTTCCACTGGCAGCTGTGCCATCGTTGCCGAGGGACCTCCCTCCTGGGGCCCTGGGTCAGTGGCACAGGGTATGGGTCTCAGAGGCAGGTAACTGGTACCTTTCATCAGCTCCTCTGCCATTAGCAGGTCTTCACTAAACACGTACCTCCTGTCTGTCTAACTTGGTGCTTTTGGTTTGTAGGAAAACTTGAGTTTTTCATTTGGTTCAGATCTGGAGGTTGGGAGGCCAGGGATGCTGCACCCTACCTAGGTCGCTTGGCTAGGGACAGAGTCAGGAGTCCAGCCTAGAGCACTGCTCCTTGGAGGTGGAGGGTTGTGCACTCACTCAGCTCCACCTTCACTCAGCTCGGGTCTTCTGCGGCCTGCTCTGTGGGTTTCTCCTTAGTCAACACTAATTACTTCAAGAGTGACTTTCCTGATACTCAGCTTTTGTGAGGCTCTTAAGATAAAAGCTTGAAAGACATGAGACCAAATCTGCCACCCCATTTCTTCACTCAGAAACCTTCTTTTCTCCCTCTCGAGAAATTCAGACCCCTCACCTGCATCACTCCTCCCTTGGAGCTGTCCAGAATATTCATACCCAGATACTCACTAAAAAGGGTGTGTGTGGGGCTACAGCCTCCTGGCTGGCCCTGTGACACGCTCCTCTCTGGCCCCTTGCTCATCTCCTCTCACTGCCCTGTTCCTCCATGCCTGTTTGTGCAAGGAGCTGGTGGCTCCTTGCTTTGCTTGAGAATTGCAGGTTGGGGCCACTCTGACCCCACAAAGTGGCCCCAACCTTCAATCTTTGGGTCAGATCTGGGTTGAAGCCCAGCCTATTAGGATCCCAAGGACTTAGAGATCATTTGGTGTTTCTCAGCTTCTAAAAATCTTACATCCTCAACATAAATGGGAAAATCCACCCGGTCTTCCTGTTGGGGGAGCATCTTGGTCTGGGGGATGTGTTTTTGTGTGCTTGCTATCCAAGAAAGGCTTGTCTGTCCAACTCATGACTAGTACCTTTTCTAAAGCCAAGGTCCTCTCTTCAAGTTTCAGAAATAAAACTGTGGGTCTAGGTCTCCTTTCCCTCCCTCTGACTCAGTCTTTAGCTGGAAGAAGAGTCCATGGCACTTCTGGTGAGGTTGGGGTGGGTGGTAAGCAGCCAGGGGTGGGTTTGCAGTCAGAGAAGGAGGAGGATAGAGCCCAAACTCATAGGGATTTGCTGGGTCCCTCTCGCCATCTTGGGCTCCTAGTGTGTGTTCTCTCCCGTAATTACCATGCCCCCCTGTGGGATAAGCCAGTGAATTGTGAGGGAGAGGTTAAGTGCTGAAGGAGCTTAGAGTTGGGACTCAAACCCAGATCTTTCTGTTGCCAAAAGCCAGGGCTACGTTGGCCTCTGGGCCTTTTGGTCCCTTCCCTACTGCGCCATCCATTGACCTCCAAACTGAGGTCATGTAGAAGATGTGACCTTGTTTCCTGAAGTTGATCAGGGTGCTTTCATGACGTGTTAAGGGAGCAAGGGACAGAGATTAACCCAGACACTTGGGGTGTGAGTGTGTGTGTGTGTGTGTGGAGGGGGGTCCTCTTAGAGCATTAGAGACACCCCAGCACGTTTGTGAGGCAGTGTGAGGGTATGGAGAGAGCCTGGCTCAGAGGCCAACAGGCAAAGTTGAGGTCAAATAACACTCCCTGATTGATCCTGAGCATACGATCTTAGCCTGTATGTCTTCACTCGTTAAATGGGAGATCATCTCTGCCTTGCAGGGTGATGGGATGCTGGGTAACTTGCACCCAGAATCAGCTGTGGTGCTTGGGTGTGTAATGAGGGACGCAACTGACACAGCTCCCCTTCAGTCTTTAGCTTTACTCGATACAAGATGTCACACGTGTAACTGGTGTCTCCCCAAGTTCCCATGTTGAATGTTTTGTCTCGTTCTTTCAGAAAGTACATTTGGGAGTTTTGATAGAATCACAGGATCATGTCTAGCCCAGAGCTGTTCTAAAACCGTAATCCCTTCTGCAGTGAGTGGCTCTGGTTTCTGTTTTAGAAATGGACAGTATTCTGATCCTCCTTGGGAGCGTGTTGCTTGGGATACCCTGTGGGAGCCTCCCTTCAGCACAGTGTGGTGGTTCAGTCCATTTCCCAAGCTGGTGTTCAGTAGCTGCATTGGACCACAGTTTAGGTCAGCTGGAGCTCTTTGGCTTCAGATTCAGTGTGTGTTATGACTAACACACCAATTTTAGATTGTTGTGCCAAGAGAATTTAATTTTTGTTCTTTAATTTTTTTTTTTTTTTTTTTTTTGAGACAGAGTCTCTCCCTGTTGATTGGGTTAGAGTACAATGTTTTCATCATAGCTCACTGCAACCTCAAACTCTTGGGCTCAAGTGACTCTTGCCTCAGCCTCCTGAGTAGCTGGTATTACAAGCATGCACCACCACACCTGGCTAATTTTTCTATTTTTTGTAGAGACGGGGATCTTGCTATGTTGTTGAGGCTAGGCCCAAACTCCTGGCCTCAAGCGATCCTCCCACCTCTGCCTCCCAAAGTGCTAGGATTACAGGCATGAACCACTGCGCCTGGCCGATTCTTAAACTTTTTAATTGAAGTATAGCAAACATAATGAAAGTACACGTATGTGCAACTAGATACATTTCCACAAACGGAACACATCCTCATAACCCAAATCAAGAAACAGAACTTATTGGTACTCCCAAAGCGCCCCTCGTGCCTACTACCTTGCTGCCACTACCTTCTAAGGGTAATCAATTTCTTGACTTCTAACGGCATAGATTAGTTTTTCTTGCTTTTGTATTTTAAATAAATGGAATTAATTAGTATATACCCTTTGTCTTCTTGCTTTCACTCAACATTCTGAGATTTAGCCCTACTGTTGCTTGTAGCAAATGATTAATTCGTTTTCACTGCCCTATGGTATTCTGTTCTTAGAATTTCTAATTGATTCTTTTTCATAACTACGTCTTTTTCTTTCATGCTGTCTTATTACTGTTTTATGACCCAATGTGGACATATTGAAGGCTAGATCTAGTTTCTGGTGGCTTCTAGGGCAGAGAATTTCCTTTTTTTTTTTAAGAAAGTGGCTGGTGAATTTGTATCACATATGTACATACATACATACACATATATATATATATATTTTTTTTTTTTTTTAAACTATAGTGGGATTATTTGGAGCATCCAATGGCAGTTAAAGTGGTAGCCCAAGGTTGAGGTCATGATTGGGGCAAGACAGAAATAATGGCCAAAAATGTATTAAATATTTGAGGAGAAAGTTATCCAAGAAGCTTAATAAACTCTAAGTAGCATAAATACAGAGATCTATACCCAGACACATCATAGTCTCATAGTCAGACTGTGGAAAGCTCAGAGAGAGAGAGAGAAAGAAAATCTTGAAAGTAACAAGAGAAAAACAACTCATTACATACAGGGGAACAGTAATATGATGAACAGCTGACTTCTGACTTGAGAAAGTGGAAACCAAAAAGGAGTTGAATGATGTTCACAGTACTCAAAGAAGAAAACTGTCGACCCAGTATTCTAGATGCAGCAAAAGTGTTCTTCAGAAACGAAGACGAAAGAGTCATTGTCAGATAAGCAAAGATTGAGAGGATCCACTGCTGGCACACCTGCCAGTTCTTCAGGCTGAAGGGAGACGCCTCACTGATGACATGAGTCCACAGGAAGAAATAACGAGCAGTGGAAACAGTACATGTGTGGGTCAGTAGGAAAGAGTTAACTATTTCTATGCTCTGGAAACTAAGCAAAGGCATGCAGTGATCTGATGAGTTGGATTTATAACATACATAGATAAAATATGTGTAGTAATAATAGTACAAAAGAGGGGAACTGCAACGGAGCAATATCAGAGCAAAGTTTATTTTACTGGAATCAAGTTAATATTAATCTGAAGTAGATTGTGATTAAGATGCTTATTTTAATCCCTAGAGCAACTATGAAGAAAATAACTTTAAAATACAGTTAAAAAGAATCAGCAGAAATCAGAAGAATTAAAGTGATATACTAAAAAACATTTAACACCAGAGAAGACAGTCACTGAGGAACAAAAAAGGAAGACAGGTAGAAAATGAGCAGCACAGTGGCAAATGCAAATCCCGCCATATCAATAATTGAATAATCAATAATGAATGGTCTGAATACCTTGATCAAAAGGCAGGGATTGTCAGACTGTATTTCAAAAAAGCAAAATCCAGCTTAATTATATGTTGTTTGTAAGTGACACCCCTTAGATTCAAGGACAAATATAAAAAGATGGAAAAAGATACACTGTAAGAAACCATTAGAGAGCTGGAGTGACTATATTAATATAAGATAAAATAGACTATAAGACAAAAAATATTACTAGCACCAAAGAGGGACATTTCATAATGAATGATATGTCAGGAACACGTAACAGTCAAAAAGTATATGCACCTAGGCCAGGTGTGGTGGCTCATGCCTGTAATCCTAGCACTGTGGGAGGCCAAGGCAGGAGGATAGCTTGAGCTCAGGAGTTTGACAGCAGCCTGAGCAAGAGTGAGACTCCTTCTCTACCGAAAAGGAAAAGAAAAAAAAAAATACACAAAACAACAAAACTAGCCAGGCGCCACACGCCTATAGTCCCAGCTACCCTGGAGGCTGAGGCAGAAGGATTGCTTACAGCCCAGGAGTTGGAGCTTGCAGTGAGCTACAGTGATATCACTACATTCTACCCAGGGATACACAGTGAGACTCTGTCTCCACAACAACAACAACAACAACAACAAGGCAACTGTCAAAAGTTGTTGATCTTCAGAAACAATGGACCACACTCAGGCGAGAACAGCTTGATTTGTGGTTTTTTTTTCTTTTGGGTG